TATTTAATATAGAAGGACCCTATCCTTGGAAACAGCCCTTCTGCGCCCAGCACAGCAAGGGTACAAGGAGCACAACTGGCTTCAAGTAACCTCTGGTTTGGAAGACTCGGGGCTGCTCTAAGTTGAGACATCCCCTTCGCTGGAAACAGCAAACTGCAGCCAAATGGAGCTGCGAGGCTCTGTGGCTATGGACACTCAGATAAATTAAGCATCACGAGCCTGCCAGCTGCTTACCGCGGGGGGGGGGGGAGCTCTGATCCATGTAGTATAAGTTTCTAATATGAAGATAGAGAATACCTTTAGAACGCACAATTATATTAGTTATCTTAGCCTGCTTTGTCATACCACTATTTCTTTGTTTTAAATATTTTAAGGGATTTTAAAAATACCAACAACAATTCAAACAATCCTGACAAACTCCAGACAAAATTGCTTTACCATGACCCTTATTTTCCATATGCCCAGTTGCTCCTGCATATATTGACAAACTGAATTAACTTTGACAATAGTTTTCAGAAATGTGTACCTCTAAAAAAAGAGCTGTGACAAAAGATATTTTGCCCCATTTACATTAGCGCTTGCATAACTTTCCAGTACTGGTTCAGGGTCACCATTTGCGAAGACCTTTATCAGCAACTGCTCAATTTTAAAGCATACGAAAAGGTCCTAGAACCACATATACTCTCACATGTAATTAGTCGTAATGCCAGGAAGACAAAGGATACCACTGCTTAAACCCTTTGTCTCTGCACTTCTTCCTCTAGGAGCTGTAGGAGGAACCCCCTCAGGATTTGATGGAGGTAGGAAACATAACCGCTTTCTAGTTTGCTGATGGGTGTTTAGGCCCAGGGAATGAAAGCTGGCACAGGAGTCTTTAAAGCTGTGTAGCCATGCCTCTGTTAGGCCTGAAAAAGCTCTGCTCCCTCAAACAGGAGGTCCAGAATGGCCATGGCAATCTGGTGGGAAGTTCAACAGTACTGTGGGAACAGGGATCAGCATCATAACTCATGTGTACCATGCCTTGTAGATAGAGATCTTGGCATCAAGGACCTGAGTCTTCAACCAGGGACCAAGGCTGCAATGCCAGAATCCTAGGCCACAGTGATGGAGATTGATGCCGGAGGATCAGGGAGACCTGCTTTAGAGGGTGGTCCCAAAACCAGCCTGCCTTTAGATGCCAGAGCCTTACCCAAGTCTGTTGCCTGACTTGGCATCTATGGTGCCAGGTAGCCTACTTGATATTTGGCTGCCAAGACCAATTTGGGCATAGATGGCCCTATAAAGGGCTAGAATTTTGTGCTACTCCTGGGAGTCAGAGGTGGAACCCTGGCTGGGCTAGGGGGTCCAACCACAGTGGTACTCACAAGTGGCTCTATAGTGTTCGTGTGATCCAACACTGATCCTTTGCCCAAAGCTCCTTTCTCCTGCCGTACGGAAGGGCTTTGACTTCAACAACTTCTTAGGCACCGGCGAGGGGAAATGGTGCTGGACAGATTCTGGTGCTGGCAGTGTGCTGCATGCCCATGTTGAAGTCCAATCAAGAAGCAATTGAGGCAGGACAAAGTGCAACCTGCATTAGGAGGGCCCTCTAGCACAGTGTGTTTCTCAATCTTTTTTTTTTTTTTTTTTTTAATACATAAGTACCCCTTCTTCAAAAAAGTAAGTAAATAAATAAATAAAATTAAGTACCCCCCAGTACCTACAGTTTTCAGACACTTTTTTCCTACCTTTGCAACATATTTGTTTAAACAACTTAATCGTAGCCAGGTGGGCGATGAAATTTTTGGGTGTAAAAAGTACAAAAATAATAAAGCGCTGTAAAACTTAAAACAAAAATTCAGTTCTCTCCAAATTTCAGTTGTGTTGACGTACTCCCCAGACTTATCTCAAGTACCCTTAAGGGTACTCCTACCACTGGTTGAAAAAACACTGCTCTAGCAGATATCCCACTCCTTTTGCGCATAAGGGTGAACGTTTTTGCAGCTCCTCCACTTTTTTCTCTGGGACTTCCTCAAAATACTTGAAACAGCTATTGTAGCAATCACTAACAGGCATTGACCAACTGCACAATGAGCATGGCTTTAAGCTGGTGGAATGGGACACGCCCCACTCCAAGACAAAATCTCAGCTGAAATTTGGAAAGGAGACAGAACAATGGACTGTAAGAACCTCTTCTGCTCTTGTGATTCAAGACAAGGCACTCCGACCAAAAAACAAAGGCAGTAAGAAGGAATTAAGAGGGTGTAAAGAGGGCACCACCTAATATGATGCATGAGCACAGCAATCAAGGGAGTGCCACAGCCATATGTCGGTTCAGGGCAGCCACCTCAGACTCTGCTTTTAGCGGCCACACAGCAGCTACCCCAACCATCCCTATGGATGGGAGGGACCCGAGGAATTATGGAGGCCTGGCATGATGGCAGCAAGGACTGCTCTCCCCACCACGACAACAGGAACCAGAGCAGATAACCTGCTTCACTTCACTGTCCTCTCCTGGTCTCGATTTCTCAGCAGTGGCAGGAAGTAAAGTGTACTGACCCCAGGGTGCTCTAATTCCCGCTGCTGAGGAAAAGGAAGGCACAGCAGGCCAGGAGAGCAGTGCCACAAAGCAGAGCAGGTTGCTAGGCCACCCCAGCTCCAGCCACCTGCTTGGTAAGGTGGTGACCCCTGTAGCTGCCACGCCAGGATCCCCATAATCTCCCAGGCTGTGTTGCTTAGGGGAGGGGGCAAGGAGCTGGAGCTTAAGGAAGGGGTGCCGTGAGGGTGATGGCTTCAGCCACAAGGAAGCGCCTGGGGCCTCATGCTCCCCTCGAGACAGCCCTGGCAGCAGCTAACCCTATGGATAGTGGCTAGGCAGAAGTCTGATGACTATGCACTAGGGATGTTAAAATATTGGTTAATTGAATAGTTGAGTAACCTCGTGAAATTTTATAGTTAGCCAACTATTCTATTGTCCCCAGGTCAGCAGCTGCACGGTGCCAGGTGGGAGCTGGTCCACAAGGGGAACCAGTTTAAAAACCAGCTCCCCTCACAGACTGGCTGCCTGTCACCTTGTGCTGCTGCTTCTGAGAAAGCAGCAGCAGCACGGAATGGCAGGGGTCTAAGTTCCTGGACCTGGCACAAGCCAAAACTGAGCTGGGCTGCCTACCCACCTGGCTCTTAATATACTTGAAATGCAGAGCTGAAACGGGGGTAGGTCCCTGACCCAGTGTGAGGTAAGACTGAGACGGGTTGCCTGTCCACTCTGCTCCTAATACACTGTAAATGCAGAGCTGCAGCAGCAGTAGGTCCCAGACCCATCACAAGCTAGGACTGAGCCAGGCTGCTGGCCAACCTGCTAAAAAATGTACTGGCAGGGCAAGAAGGAAAGAGAAACACATGTCATTTATAGCATTAACCTATAAGCTTTTGCTTATCGGTTAATTGTCTACACTATTACATCCCTACCATGAACATGGAGGCGTGCACAGCCACCCACCCCTAGAATAGAACTGATATGAATAAGCACTTGAAGAATTAATCAATTTCAATGACTTCTAAAATGTAATCATTCTGCATTTTTTGGCCACCTGAACAACAAAGTTGGCATTTAAAGTTGGAGGAAGTTTTTAACTAATAAACGCTTAAAAACTTACATCCCTTGGAAAGTTACATATACACTGTTTCTATAAGAAATTATTCTTGCCCTGAAGAGCTCACAGTCTACAAAAAGTTTGTGCATGTTAATAGAGCCAAACAAGAGTGTTCTCTTCACCCTTGGCAGATACCTTTCACTGAGACAATTCCAAGGTCAAGCAGGTCTTAAAATATTCTTACAGGCCCATTAAGAGTTGGTGGTGGTTTTTAAAAAATGTACTGAGGACACATCTTTGTTTTCCCCCATAACAAGATCTAAATTCTGGGATAGTGAATGACTCATTATTTACAATTTCAGCTCTCTACATTGATGGCAATGTAGTTAGAAAATAAATTATTTTTCCAAAAACAGGCATGCCATATAAATGCAGCAGAGAATTATAGAGGATTGTACTGCTTTTGAATTTTGAAACAATGAAAAAGTAGTAGTTAGACCTCACCCTGTAATTTAGGTTTATTTATTATTTAGTTAGAAATTATACCATTTTCCCACTTGAAAAGAGTCAGCCAGATAAAACTATTAAATATTATAAACTGAATGGAACGTTGAAACAATACAAGTAATTATCTGGAAAAAGTCCAGCATATAGGAAGTGAAACTGCGTCATCCACAACAAAACATAAAACTGATATGCCAGACTTGTGGAATGTTTGTCTCCATATTCAGCTTATAAGAGCAATAACAACCTCAGAGAAGGATAATTCTTAGGGCTTAGTGACTGACTAGCATTACCAGCCTGAAGTACAGCTCAATGGCAACTCTTCCCAGACAGTCACCATTCCCTTTTGAATACCCAGCCAGTGGCTTGTTATTACTTATGTTAGTAGATTTAAAGTAAAGCTCATGCGCCAGCATCTCTAAAAGCCTCCACCACCACATTTTTAGCACTTTCCTTCTTACCACGGTTTCTGACCTGTCAACCTGAGAACAACATCGTGCAATAATGCAGGTAGTATATGGCTGACCGCAGTCCAATACTGATGCAAAAGGGGGTTGGAACGGATATTAACATTGGGGCGCCTTAGTGCTTGTTCTAAAGGATTCATCTTGAAACTCAAATTTAGGTAATATTCTGTAGGAAAAAATAAGGTTCACAATATTTTGAATATTCAGAGAAAAAGCCTGTAGTAAGATAGTGAATTAAAAGTTATCCTGACATAATGATTATTCAGATTCTAGCACAAACTCAAACACCCAGACAACGTATTATTGGTGGGGAGGAAGAAGTCTTGAATTCAAGTTTCTCCATTTAGAGTGATGACAAACTTAATAAACAAGCATAATCTGGAAAATAATTCAGTATTAATATGCATTTTTCATATCAACATGGGATTGTTTAAACATCAGAGCTAGTCACCATTACCTTGGGCTTCTTCCAGTAATCCTGAGGTAGATATCATACAGGAATGCTGGGGCCTTATGGCTTACAGCAATCCAGTAATGATATAAAAGGTGATTGGAGGTTAGATTTACATTGGGCCGTCTGAAGGCCTGTTCGAGAGGATTCCTCTTGAAAGTGGAAATTACATGGTATTCTGAGAAAGAAAAGTTATGTAATAGGTTTTTAACTCTTACTAACGTTATTTCAAATATGAAACTTTTCTAACATTTCTGTCACCCCCCATCAGCTACCAAATTATGAAACTATTCAACTTGAATTGCTATTGGCCTGCCACTTTGTCCCAAGAAGTACCTTGTACACTCATTCCATTGTTTGTTTGTTTTAAACACTGTACTGCACTCCAGCTAATGCTCTGTTCCTCTTTCTTACTTAAAAAACAAACCAACAAACAAACAATATTCAGTCTTCTGGTTGTAAATTTTAAAATAGCTTTGCATGCATATATATTTAGCAATCTTAAACCTAATTTGCAGTACAAATTATTTTAACTTTCCTTTTAATCAGATCATAGGTATATCTAAGCATAGCATTTGACCTGCATTTCAAAAGACATTTTAACAAGTGATTCACATTTTTAAAAAACCCTTCCTTTTATTGTGCATTTCTTGCACATACAACACTCAGTGAGGTCAAAAGGAATTTTAGCTGTTAGAGAAATGCAAGACTGGGCACATTTGCTTCAGCTTTCTAAACATCTCCCATTTTTTCCACAATGGTTTCTTCAGAAAAAATGTGTTCTTACCACAAACTAAACTGTGATTTAATTAAAAACCAATAGTTCTCTAATCAACTTGTCTGGAAGATTAAATGGATGAAATTATGTTTTATATATATATAATTTAGTACAGAGATAATTTTAAGATCTACTTTTAAACTACCTACAGGGCAGTTTGTATAGAACGTATACAAATATTTGGAATAAATATTATCCTAACAATAAAAATTCTGCTTAAAACAATAAATATATGCATTAAAATATTAGAAATCTTACAATTTAATGAAATCTTACATTTTCATTTTAAGAAAAGAGAACATTTATTGTAGGTCTGCAATATTTTACTATTAGAAACAGATTAGACTGTAATTGTAAATGTTAAGAATTGCAAACAGATGGCCAAGAGGATTATTTCTCTCTTCAGATAATATTTGATACCTCATGTAACTACTTAAAAGTAAAAATAATGACATGAATCTGACTACTCGAAAGCAAAGTTGCCATCATACCTCTCAAGTGTGCTGCTCTATGCAAAACCCACCTCACTTTCATGCTATTGTTCTATTATTTGTTACTTGTGTTACCAGTAGGGATGTCAATGTTGACATCCGATTAGCCAATAAACCTAATAGGTTAATCTTGTCAATTACATGCATTCTCACACCAAGGGTGGGTGGCAGGGAGGAAACAGCAGCAGAGGCAGCAGCGTTGGATGGCAGGGGGCTTTCCAGGGGCTCCACCCCCAGGGATTATCAAATACTGTAGTCATATAACCAATGAGAATTCATGCAGTTACACAACTACTCAATTACCTGATATCTAACATCCCTAGTTACCACAGTCCTTATGAGCCCCAGTCATGGACCAGGAGCCCACTGTTGTAGGCACTGTAGAAACACAGAACTCCAAGTTCTAGATGCATTTAGCAAGAGTGCTGCTAAACCCAACATCGAATGTTGTGACAACATCGAATGTTGTGACAACATCAGAGTCTCTGCTGATCCCTCTGAGCAGTTCTTCACTCTACCCATGAACTGAAGGCAGATTAAGCTGACGGAACAATTAGGAAAGCAAATAGGACTCCCACATTTTAGATGAAGGTGGGACCAGGAAAATAAACAGTGAATGGAGGAAACAGAGGATAAAATTAAGAAGTGATGGAATACTTCAACTATGCAGTGTATCACAGGGGAATTTCTGATTATAAAAATGCTAATTTTTTAAAATCAGTGGTCTCAAGTTCTTAGAGGAAAAAGTTACTCAAGTTGCTAACAAAAAATTTCTAGAAATACATATTAGCTAATGGCCACATTGTGGGCCTTTCATTATTTCATACTTTTTTCTATTGACGTTTAAAGAGAACACATATAGAAAGAATGCAGCATACCAACTTCACCCCAGTGGAAAGGATTGGTGCCACCTGTTGTGCAGTTGTACACCATAATGTTTCTTGGTCTGAAAAAATCAGATAGAATTAGTTAAAATTAAAATTTGTGACAATAACCCAAACCAGAATCATGTATCCAAATCACTCTTATCCCCTGAATTTTGGAGTTTGGATAAAGTGGAGACCAACCAACCACCATAATTTTATCTCCACACTGCTCATGTTTTTCTTTCCAGCAGCTCTGTCTCTCATGAAACAAATAATTAAGCTTTAACTCTATAATATTTATAATTTAAACTGACTGCCATAATGAAGGAATTTCCACTCCCTTGTCTACAGTATTGCATAACTGATTAAATACACTATCAGATACTGTCCAGATACAGACTAGATTGGGCTAATAGGTTGAATCCTAAATTCCATAGTACTGTGGGAAAAACAATTAAACTACTAGCAGTTAAACGGATGGTTAGGTTTATAGAAATATTACACAACCCCTCTTCAGGCTAATTAAAAATGAACTGCACTGTCACCTGCTATACCTATTAACTCCAGAATACCAAGCAGCAGCCAGTGTTGTGTTGACAACTACATCTACTGGAACAAGATCTGCAACTGCACTGTTGGAGGCTCTCATTGTTCGAAGAATTCCTTTTCCTGCCTTAAATAACAAAAATGGAAGACACCAATAAAATACTGAAAGGTTACACATTATTTGAAAAGACATACTTGTCTTAAAATGTTTACTTACCGCAATAAAGAGACCACTGGGCCCATTAAAGTTATCAATCCATCCCTATTGGGTAAAAAACACCAAAAGCAATCTCAGTTGAAATTCACTGATTTCAACATATTTCACAAACATTTATAGTTACCATTCAAGCAGACAACATATTACTTCCCTATTCCTACTTAAGTTACAAATATAAATGTGCTTTCATTTGAAACCACTATTGCATACCTGTGACAGAGCTTTAAACAGCTGCTACAACTGCAGCCAAAGAGCTACACACAATTTAGCTAGCTCCTCAAAATTAGCTGCTGCATATTATGAAATAAACGATAGGATTAAAATAATTTTGTAATGCACATTTATAGTTCAAAGCAAGTTTCCTAGCAGTAGCTATGAAGTGAAGTCATACTTTGCCCAGAAAATCTTTTCACAATTGGAAAGCAGCTAAACAATTGCACTGTCCATTATTATATTTCCTTCCATTTTCTAGAGGTAGGATTCTCTCAATATGTAGTGCCCATATTCAGTACCAAAAAGGAAAGCCATCTCTGATTTTGGTGATCTGTACGGACTTGAGAAATCAACTTATCTTGGCACACATTTTCTCCTGAGTTAGGAAAAGTGCACCAAAACCAATCACAAGAGGACCATCCCATACCAAGAGAAACTTCAGGTAGCAACTGCTATAGCAACCCCAAAACACTGTCTTTTCTATGGCTGTCATGTAGGGTGGCTACAAACAGAGGGTGCGTCAGGGCATCTGGTTGAAGGGAAAATGGATCTATAAAGACATTTCCAGAAAGAGGAAGCAGAAAAGTGGCATAAGCAAAAATAAAAAAAATCCAGGTCTTATATGTGTTTTAGTCTCTTAGAAGTCATGGGAAGTAACTGATGAGAGAAACTTCAAAGAGCTTCAGTGTACCCATAAAGAACTTAACTGAAGTCAAAATTACTTTAGGCTTTCTTATCAGAAAAAGTTTTAGATGAACAATTAAAAGCGTAACGTTTGTGTATATATATAGAATAACACCATATTGATTCCACTAGTTCTAATTAAATATATTCTCCCTGTGTTTTAACAAATATTGTTTAATTCACTTGATAGGCCCATATATTCCAGAGGTAAGAGTAAGTTATCCTTTAAATCAATGGCTTTCTTACATAAAAGCTGTCAACTAAACAAGGCAGTTTTATAACTCAGGTTGCTATCCACAAGTGACAAATTTTCACCTCTGATTTCTATGGAGTGTTGAACTAGCTCCCTACCAATATAGACCTAGCAAGGATAAGGTACAGGACTAGAAATATATGGAAGTATATAGATTGTAGAATATTCCGTGGGAAGCTCAAAAGACTTACAGGGAAAGGCTCCTTCCAGCTAGCACCAACAATCGATGGTCGTATAATAGCTATGTTTAATTTTGCACCTTCCTGCTGCACAACATATTCTGCTAAGGCTTTTGTATATGTGTAAGTATTAGGCCGGTCTCCTATCAGTTTCGGAGTAATGTCATTCACTAGACCATCATCCATCCACCTAAAGAATCAAAAGAACAAAGCTTTAGTTACTCTACAATTAACTTAAAGGAGTATAAGAAAGAAAGAGAAATTGGAAAAATAACTTATCAAGCAAAATACTTTGACTCATTTCTTTTAAAGCAACAAAAATAAGACAAACTGAAGCTGTAAAGTTCCACCAGAAGCAATGTAAACAAAGACAGCAAGGCAAAGAATTCTGCTGTAGTGCTTATCGGTAAATTTTTTACAAGTTGTATTCAGCAGAGATTTGGAAGTAATTTACTCCTGCCACTTCAAAATTCTGTAAGGGTACATCTAGACTTAAGGGTAAGGTTGACTTAAGATACACAACTATGTTAATTACATAGATGGAATCGCCCCATCTTAAATCACCATCTATACAGCGGGAGGCCGATGGGAGCAAACACTCTCGTTGGCTTCCCTTATGCCTCATGAGGAGCAGGAGTACTGATGCCAATGGGAGTGCCTTTTTAGTTCCAATTATTGGTCTTCACTAACTCACTAAACCAAACCCTGGAAGATCAACCACAGCGGCGTTGATCTTCCATGTAGCGTAGACATGGCATAACAGCCCTAATGTCCAACACCTGATCAGTAGCAACTTTGAAAAATCAGCGTGTTGGGTTTTAAGAGATGCTTAGCACCAATTTTCACTAAAGTGGACAAAAGTAACACCTCTAAAAAATAAGTCCTCAGATAAATCAGAACTTTTGACACTGGTGTGGCAAGCATATATGTAGGTTATACAATAGTGAGGTTTAGCAGATAACTTACACCAAGCTCAGTTCTGAAATCTGCAGTTCCTTGAGATTTCACTAATTACAAATGGTTTCCTTTCTTTAGAAACCAAAATGCTGGATTTTATGAGAAGCAAAATTAAGAGTTGAACAATACTAGGATTTAGCCCTTAACTGTTCACTTTGTTTATTAAACAGCCCTCACACTGGAGGTGAGTAAATGGTAGAAGAACTGTACTGAAAGAAGGGTTTGACATTAATTTCAAGAAACCAAAGGCTGTTCTAGATAATCAATTTAGCCTTATTGGTGCAAACTTTCTAAACGCCAACGTAGAGGCACACTTAAAACAGATTTAAAAATTACTTGCCCCAACGCAACATGGGTACAAGCATAATTTAAACTTTCAAGTGTACTTAAAAATAAGGGCTTGCAATGGCATAGTTTGTTATTCTGCTAAAAATATTCTTATATAGACCAACCCCAATATGTTTAGAAACATTTTGCAATGCGCTCTAGAAACTGAAGTTTATTTTATGAATCTAGTTAAAAAACCTGATTTTTGGAGGAAGAATTTAGGATTTTTTATTAAACAGCAATATAAAAAGAAAATACAAATCTCTTTGATCAATAAAAGATCTCTCAAAAGCAACAGATCATTGTACAAGAAAACCACAACTGAATGCACATTTCCAGTGGTTTATAGTTCAAAGACAGTGATACAAAGATTGACAGGACAAAATAATGTGATACCCAGTAAAATCCCAAAACTGCTTGCAAACTTAAAAACTACTTTTTGTTTTTATTTTAAACAAGCAAGATGACTGGGAAATAGCGTGCATCTTTGATACATCATTAGTGAACTTAGTCCATTAATTATAGCTGAAGAGACAGCCATTTTCAAGATTTCATATTGCCACATTTTTCTGCCTACCCCCCTTTCTCTATACATGTCAACTATAAACATTAAGTCATTTCCCAATATTCTTGGTTCTTCCGTGATTGTGTTAAACAGTTTTTTTTCCCCAAACAACACAGCACGCAAGATGAACTAATCAGCCCTCCTATAACTATAGGGTCATACTGAGTAAAATCATACTAGGCGATATGTAACGAAAGCTTGTCTGCACACTGACCTGTGTTCTCACAGATTTACTGAATGCTGCAGGTTCCCCACCTGCTGCTTTCACTTGCAGCCCAATATAGGTTCAAGTGGCCTTCAAAAAGCGACTCACTTTTACCCACACTCAGAGCATATTTGCAGTATGAATGCATAGGAGAGCATGTTGCACTGCCAGACAAATGACTCCATATCCTCTTCTCTTTTTCAGTTCTCCCAATGCTTTATTCCACATCCTGAAGTGTTTGCCCTTCTTGGATAACTGCTTGCAGAATTCAACTCTTTCCAGAGAATTTTGGTTGGTCTGCTACTGCATAAACTACCCCAAGTCCTCCTCTAACTACAATACTCAAGTAACATTGAAGGCATTGGTTTCTGGATCTGCATTTCTGAAAAACAATCTATTTTCAACCAATATATAGCTCCCATAACTACTAATAGATGTATAAGTGTTCTGTTAGCCAAGTACCTTGTTCCTGTGCCAAAAAATGATCAATTATTCTATATGACAATACTTTCAGTTTACCTGAGAACACATATGTATATGATGTATATGCTGTAAAGCCCGTATCATAATCTGGTCTAATTAATTCCAGATATTTTTCAGGGGAGTCACATCAAAAAAGGCCATATGACATTTCTGCTGGCTATTATATCTAGTGATATTTAGTGTCAAATCATTAGGCTCCAACAGAACCAGCGGGGTTTTTTGTGATGGTACTGCACAGAAAGGCATACCATCACCTATTTTCCCAGCCCACAGAAAAGGAATGGGATTTCCCCCGTGTGTTCTGGCACCTATTTTCCTGGGGTGGTTTGGCTCCTGCTGGAAGCCTGCCCAGAATATGCAGCTTTTTTTTCCTGGCTCCCAGCGCAGCACTGTGGCTCTTAAAGGGGCTGCGACCGCATTTTGGCCCCCAGGGGCTTTTTTGGGGGGGGGGGGGGGGGGGCGGGGACGCAGATGCCCTCTTTTTTTTTTTTTTTTTTAAACACACAAAAAAAGCACTGAACAGAACTATGGGCTGAAACCGTTACTGGAACATAATATACACTTCAGTGAAGTGTGGAATTTTTTATTTTTACTGATGGTATGTTCCTAAATTTATCTTGTGACATACAACATTTCATCTGAAAAATATGCATTCTTCTTCCTTTCTTTCCACACAATGCTGAGACCTTTCATTGAATAAGCAATTTCTATTGTATTTCAAAGTATTTTTAATTAAATATTCCCAGAGTTACTTACACATTTAAATAATTGTCATGCTGAAAGATACTTCTCTAACCTTCCCAGTCTGAGGAACACAGGAGTAACTGCCCTTTATACATAATGATGCATGGTAGCAGGATTTCCCAATGTCAACGTTAAAAATTAAGATGAAGTTACTTATGAGACCAGGTACCAAATGCACACGGTATTTGATATACATTTGTACACAGGATAAAAGGACTTACATCACTTAAAGTCACCAATTTTAATCATGATTTGAATCAGGAAATCAGCAAAAAATGATTTAAATTTATTTTAATCATCTTTTGCATTTTAGTTATTTTTCCCTAAAAAAAAATTTTTAGTCTTCTGGTTGGTAACCATTAGAATATGAGATTTCCAACTACCTTTATTTATTGCAATTAACTTTAATTAGCTTCAGCCTTTATACTTTTTGGTGGCCAGAAGGTGACTATATTTAAGTACACATTTTAACTAATTATATAGCTTAACATATTTAGTCTTAAGTTTTTACTAATTATATAGCTTAACATATTTAGTCTTAATTTTTTACTTTTTATTATATTAAGAATTGCATCAAACTTTTTTTTTTTTACACTTGATTAAAAAAACACAGATGACTTGTGTCAAACTCCATATGCAGAGAAAGTGACATTCAATTAAAATACACTAACCTTTTAAAATTGTTTCAAATAAACTATCACAAATGCACCTTTACCTAAAACTAAAGTTTATTAAAAATTATTTGAAACTGATTATTAAACAAAGGAATAGCTATCTGTAGGTAGTAAGCTGAACTTGAAGGGGCTAAAACACTTTAGAACTAGGATCTCTCATCCTTTCATACCTCCATTTTATGCATGAACTGGAAGACAAAAAAATGCTTTCTTTTTTTAAATTCCCAGTTTAATTTTATATAAATTGGTCAACACTGAACTAGCTGCATAAAGAGAAACAGAAATTAACCCATGCCTTCAGATTCAGATAGGTAGTCTTTCTACAAGCCTTTCTTAGTGTTCCAAAATAAAGAAAAATGTAAAAGCCTTCCTGCAAAAATGTTTCTTCCTGTACCACAGTATTTCTATGACCTCAGCTTTTTTTAAAAAAGTAATTATATCAAGGTTACTTGTGTACTCCTTAGATTCTACCCACTGCCATTCACCACCTTACATTTTAGAGATCAAGTTAGGAGCCAATTAATTAGATCCCAGGCTGGGAGCTAACCCTGCTGTGACGTTCTCCCACTTAACTAATTGACTAGTGGATGGAAAATCGATCGACTAGTCGATTAAACTAAATTTAACAACCCTAATTTGAACTTTAAGTTTTGTTATATTTCATTTCTATGCTACGCTACAGACATTTAACTTTATACAGAATTGCTAAATAGACACTATCTTTTTGTATAGGATTACTTGAGGGAGTTTTATAGGATTGCCAGTGCTTGAGGTTTTAAACTTTTGGCATCTATTTATATGTCTAGTTTGATATAGCGACCATTTATTATCAGAGGGGGAAATACTCTGCATGGAAAAATAGAGTGATATTTGTCCTTACTTGAGTAAATGACCTAAAGTAAGTCACAACCTTCCTATACCTTAGTTTCCACTTTTGTAAAATGGAGATAATTGACTCATCAATGTGTGTAGTTTTTTTGTATTATGCTTTTCAAAGCCTTTTATGCTGTTAATAGTACTGGAGAAGAGCAAAGCAGGTGGGTATGGATTAGTCGAGGAAAAAATATAAAGATTCAAAACATACCCTAAAGAATCTATCAGTTTCTTGGGGTCAACAGGGGGTGGATATATGATTTCTTCAATGTGCTTTCGATTGCAATATGCATATGCTGTTGAAACATGTATGAACACCTCCAAATTCTTCATTTGCTGGGCCAAGATGATGAGCTGTTGTGTGGCAATCACATTTAACTGCACAGCATCTCTGTTGAAGAAAATAGACAAATGAAGAAGAGTAAGTATGGTAGAGAATCATAAACTGAAGTGAAAAGTCCCATGTGGGGACTATTCACATTCTCCCACATCTTATTCAGTTAATGTTTAGATGTGCCTAATAATGGCTTGCACTACTGTCCTTGAAAGACTTTCAGTCTTAGAATCTGTAACACTGAAATCCACAACATTTCCTAATACTCAGCCTAGTCTTCACTAATTTCAATCTCAGTTTCTGGTTGTGCCCCTACATGGGCCATCTAAAATTCCTCAGGTTACATGGCAGACACCTAAGTCAAGTTATACAAGTTCATTTTCCTAAAACAAAAGCCTTCTCCATTAAAAATAAGGGAGCGAAATAACGACAATCTGTAACTGCTAGCTTCTCTTGCTTTCTTCTCATCTGACCCTCACATGTAGTTATCTATTGATACTGGGTAAGACACCATATCTCAACCTGTAGAACTATCCACATCAGGCTGTCAACACACCAACCTAAACAAGATCTGCCCTGGTCAATACTTCAACTGGCGGTCCCCAAAGACTTCGTGTCAGCAATTCAGCAGGCGACACACACACACACCCTACCCACCCACATTCATGCTGGCAGTTTGGAGGCAGGCTGCAAGTGCAGTGTAGATTACTTCTGATTTCACAAGTGGCTGGAATGATGGCCAGTTGTCAGCTTCCCAGAGACTCGGATATAAGGTTCCTTCAAATCTGCAGGAGGCTTTACTTTCTCTGGGCCGGACCCAGGCTTCTACCGTGCTGTTGCATCTTGTCCAAGAGAGATTTCTTGCCACTCATCAGTTAATTTATCCTCTTTGCAGGGTCTTTGTTCGTCATAAAAAGTTACAAATCATAAACTGTCTGGCCAGTTGTCAGCTTCCCAGAGACTCGGATATAAGGTTCCTTCAAATCTGCAGGAGGCTTTACTTTCTCTGGGCCGGACCCAGGCTTCTACCGTGCTGTTGCATCTTGTCCAAGAGAGATTTCTTGCCACTCATCAGTTAATTTATCCTCTTTGCAGGGTCTTTGTTCGTCATAAAAAGTTACAAATCATAAACTGTCTTTTCATTGGGTTTCTCATTCACACTTCCACACTCATTCCACAGATTGCACACATTCATAAAGATACATTAAGAAATATGGTTCTTAGGCAAAGCATGGCCTCGAGTAACAAGAAACCTAACTATAAATTGCATTGCTTGACATACCAAAGAATATAACAAGAAGGCATAATAAAGAGCTTAACGTAAATCATAACTGAGAGCTAGGGTGAAGGGAAGGGGGAAAGCAGAGAGGTACGTTCAGCCAGCTAGACGCCAGGGGAGGAGAAGGCAGGGAGTCATACCCAGTTGGCTACAAGCACTGACTCAGATGGTAGAGTATCACCTTACCCTTAAGAATCTGTGCCAATAAACAACCTCAAAGCAATACTGCCCCAGTGCACCCTTTGTCCGGGTTTGTTCCTCAGCAGGTCTGAGGAACTGCAACAGTGCTCAGGTAATAACCCAATATGATATGGTTGTGTTTGGTTCTTAGAAGGGGAGTAGGATGGGCATCATGTTATTCATGGGGTGTCTTGTGCAGGAGCTCCGGGGCGAGAAAGCCCCGTTCGTAAGCTGCTCTGGTGCCCCTGGTCTGCTGGAGACCGTCTCCAGCAGACCAGGGGCACCAGGCGGGTTCCCGCACTTCTGAGGCTTTGCCAGAGCCAAGCCTCAG